TGTTTACCTTAGGGAAAATGTATGCATTGGGGTCAACCATCCACCACCAGAGTATTGGACATGATATGATAAGAGTGGTGGTTGTAGATGTTCGGGATGCTGTCTGCCCCAATCCCTATTCCCATCGAAGAGGTTCAAACGAGTGGGACGAGCACCTGGAAAGTTTATCTTATGGCCGGTTTCATTAACAAGACCCATCCCAACACATGCACGAGGTTGTGTCATGCATTTATCCCTTTTACTTATTATTTTTTGATATGTTGATGTATATTAATGTTATTTATTTTTGGTACTTGTATAGAAAGAGGTTGAAAAAGCAAAGGAAGTTGTGCATGAATCACCACCACCATCACGAGTGCTTTACGGCTGACTCGGTGCACTAGCAGCGACTATCGGGACCACTCCCATACGGTTAGATATGCCACCCGAAGTCGTATGCGAGAACCAAGACGATCCCTTTTTTCTTACTCCAAAGGGATATTTTTTATATTCTCACTGGTACTCGATATGCTATGTGTATCGGTGTTGCAGCTTTGGGAATTGTAAGTAAATTTACATATTTTTGATATTCTCACTTGGTACATTATTTTATAACTTTATTTATTTTCAATGTTGAAGGTATTTACATCGTTTGTGTGTTGAGAGGAAGATTGCCTTTATCTATGGATTTGTTGACCACTGTTGCCATTCGAGTCAGTTGGGAATAAAGGCTGAAGATGTGCAAACGTACTTAATAGAGACATTTCAAAATGGGGGCAAAGAAGTCTACTTAGCACCTTACTTGCATCAGTAAGTATACATCTTATAAATTAATGCACATTTATGTAAAACTAAAAATTTACTAATATTATTTCAACGTGCAAGGGTCATTGGCAGCTCATAATCATTGTTCCTCGGCAATTTGTTGTGATTCTCTTGTGTTCATTACACAAGAAACCAAATGATTTGGATATTAGAAAGCACATAGACGCGTAAGTTTGGTTTTTTTAATTGTTGTATCATATGTGCACTTACACCAAAATTATTTGTCCTTTTGTAGAGCTTTGGAAGCTCACCTAAGGTTGCAAGGACTTCCATCTCATGCTAGAAAGAAGTTGACGTATATTGCACCAAATGTGACCAAACATTCCTCTTACTGTTGTTCAATTTGTCATTTAAAGTTAATCTGACATGTATTTAACTTGTAGTGTCCACGCCAACCGGGAAGCCATGAGTGCGGGTATTATGTGATGAAGCACATGCACACCATCGTAGCCAAAAATATTATTGACTCATGGAGGGAGGTAAATATACTATAATTAAGTCAAATATGCCAATTATGTAAATGGTTTCTAAATCTGAAATGTTTCAATATGTAGGAATTTACAGACTCATCTCCATTGAAGATTGAAGTGTTAGACGATATTAGAGAGCAGTGGACTTCTTTCCTTTTAAGTATTCAATCTTCATAGCAAATTTGACTTGTAACAATTTTGATTGAATTGATTTAAGAAGCAAATTTACATTCGTTTAAGTAAATGAACTGTCTGGAACTGAGGTACATATATTGATTTCAATATGTTTCATATATGTACATATATATCTGTCTGAAACTATATATGAACTGTGCATATCTGTCTGTACAAGTGTTTGGAACTCTGAATATTTGTCTGGAACTATGATGAATAGGCAGGTCTACTCGAAGAAAGGTAGGATCTGTGAAGAAAATGCAGGTTCTGTAAAAAAAAATAACACTTTCTACGTCAGTTATGTCATTAACCGACATAGAAAGTATTTTCTACATCGGTTAATGACATAACCAACGTAGAAAGTTTAACATTTTATGTCAGTTATAAGCATAACCGACATTGATATCACATACAATCACGGTTACTGTTAACCGATATAGATACTGGGGTTATAGAAAGTTAGAAAGTAAGACTTTCTACGTCGGTTTCCTGACTAACCGACGCAGAAAGACTTACTTTCTATGACCCCTGTATCTATGTCGCCGCTTTAACCGACGTAAAAGACTCATTTTAACCGACGTAAAAAGCCTTTTCTGCAGTAGTGTACATACGAATCTTAACCCTAATTTAGAAAAGTACTCTAAGAGAAGGTTACTTTATTCAATATTCTCATCTAATAAAAATGTTTTTCTCTTAGCTAGAAACATGATTATATCTTGAATATAGAAAAATGTAAGAACTGTGTAGAAATTTTTAGAAAGAAGTTAGAGAATTTAGAGTTTAAGATGATATACTTAAATATAGAAAAATATAAGAATTCCCTTAAAAATTTTAGAGAGAAGTTAGAGTGTAGAGAGATGTTTTCTATTTAAATTCTTCTTATTTCAAAGGTAAAAAATTTAAATTTTATTCTATTTAACTACCAGTGTTCTTTAAACTATTAATGTTTTTGTGAGACTCTTGTTCTCGGACCAATTTCATCACGAATTAAGCTTAATCAATAATTTAACTTATACACAGCCGCAATTTGCGCAGTAGTATACAAAAAGACTACAAGAAGGTGACGAGGGAGTGAGTAAACTAATACACAAAAAACTTGTTTTATTATCTTATTATTTTATTTTGGTTGACATGAACATCAAACACTCAAAAAATTTCAGAAAAACTAGGATTTACTCATAGCTGCTGCCATTGTCATTGTCCCGAGATGTTTGCTAACCAGGCTGTTGAATGATCATGGCTAGAACCACTTTGTATTTTTGTTATATGCACAACAAGGTAGGCATCAGATTAACCTGTTGAAGTTGAATGTCACATTCACTCACCACCTCTTAATCAGTGCTAACTTTGATGAGGTTAACCCAAAAAAATATGGGAAGGGGTTGGGGAGAAAGAAAATGATACACCAAGAGTGGATAATGTATTTGCCACATATATGATTGATTGATTGATCCATATTAGGATTCATTCCATGCAGAGCTGACACACATGATCCAGTTGGTTGGTGGACTGTAATGTCTGTAGTTTAGTTTGTGACATCCATTTGGTGAACTGTAAAAAGCCTATTAAGCCCCAGCTAGCTAGAGATATACACATGGTTTTGAGATAAATAAGAAAAAGGAAAGTGATCAAAGATGAATGGGAAATTAGGATGGAACTAGAAGGCAATAATTGATTGCATGGTGTGTGAGTTTAAGAAAGAGAGTAGTAGATAGAATAGATGCATAGAATAGAAAATGGATGTATCAAAAGAATGAGGAAGGAGAGTGAATAAGAGGTTTGTGTGGGGCCATGGTGATTAGAACAAGTACTTGACCATCAATGAATTTGAGTTGTATTATTGCGGAGAGCAAGTTGGTGAGTGGACCATGCTGTACAATTACGCTAACTCATCTATCTGTCAGCTATCTTTCCAAACTTTTCGATAAAGATATTCATGCCCATTGCACAAAAATGTCATAACGTATTTCTTCATATTTGATAAATTTCCATAGTAACAGACATCATAATTAGAACTTATGACAGAGAGATTATGTAAACTTTTTGCTACCATTATCACTGCTTGAATTCCACAATGGAAAATTATAATACTGATAACACACTTCTTGCTGTAAGTTCAATTCCGTTTATGATGGAGTGAAGGTTGTTAAATAAGATGTGAGAGTTAATTTAGATACATCTTTTCTTTGAACCACATTTTTCTATTTTTCATCATAAAATCATACAAGACTTTGTTGTACCCAAAATAATAGGGTTAGTACTAGTGTTACTAAAAATTTAGTGTGAGTCTAATAAAGTGGGGCATGGGGCGGGCACGTGTGTTAGAAACATTTTTAGGAGTGGTGACAGTGACACAGCTATCATCAACTACTAGTCATTTGTAGAGAAAGTCTCTTCAATTACGGACGCGTAGATAATGTGTCCCTTCAAGATGGCAATGTGAATATGTGGCCATGGGATCCATCTACCAACAACACCTAAATCCACGAGGAAGAAGAAATTTTCAGAATAAATCAGTGAAGAGGTTAGAGGGGAAAGGGACATCAATCATCGTCCATATATGCTTCCATCTTTTTCCACACTCATCAACTTTTTCGCATGCAAACATCTTAATGGTCAGTCTCTACTTTTTGACCATAAATAAAGGTGATGAAACTGTTTAATATTAAAGACCAAAGACTTATACATACATTGTTGGTTTTGTTTAATAAAAACTACGTAACATGGAATTGGTAGTGTAGTGGTAGCAGCAGAAGTAGTTAATTGATTTTGACACTTGGTCTATTTGATCAAACACAATACTGCACAAGTTTCTTTCACGTACTTCACTCCCTGCTGCCACATAAAGTCCCAATTGTGCTGGATCAATCGAGTCTGCAAAACTGGTGCAAACTTTTAATGTGGCCACGGTCAATAAATGAAGCCCTGCATCTAATATTATTATTTTCATACTATACTTTGAATTTGAATAAGTATGTTCAGTACTGCTGAATTTGGTACGTCAATAATACAACAAATTATCTGTTAATGAATCTGAAATAAACTTCAATAGTATCTGATATGTGAATAACATAATGAAATAAACTGTAAATATAATTATCCTATTGGATCCACTGCTCAACTGTGAGTAATTCAGGTAGGACGTGAGTTTTTCTAAATATTTATGGAAAAAATAAAAAAAGTAGAAAAAGAAAACAGAAACAGCTGTTCACAGTTTACATTGAGACCAAACTATAGAACTAGGATATTCGGTGCACGTTTGGCTATGAGCCAGTGACCGTTGGATTGGTCTTTGATTGACTCACATAGTTCGTGATAGCAATTATGGAAAAATTAATATCCAGGTGGGTCCCTCGTAGCTTGACTATTTTTGTGCCAGAACTTGTTAGGTGTGATCTTGGGCATAGTTAAAGCAAGAGGATAAAATAAAAGGAAATATTGGTATACCAAAAACAATTTCTAGAAAAAGTAGCAATAGTGAAATCCTACTCATTTAATGGTAACTGAAAGAAGGAATTTGTATGGTGCAACTGCAAGCAGTGAGTGATGAAGATGAAAAGTGGTTTCCATTTAATTGAAGAGGTAGGCTTAGTAGCATTTACATTTGCTCTGGGGTGTGGCACTGCAAAGAGCAAAAGTCTTGTCTGTGTGGCTGTGATGAAGGGATGCTTTGCTTGATGCTTGGAAAAACAAAAACAAAAGGCATGAGGATGTGATGCCCATTTTTCTAGTTTTAGTTTTATCCACAAGCTTTGTTTTGTGAGTTGTAACTCTGTAACCTATAAACCCACACAACCTCAACCTCCACCACCCCTCATCTCTCACTCTTTCCTTTTCTTTTGTTTGTCCAAGACAGTGGCTTTGGAGTTTGAGGTACAGCCTTGGAAGGATTCACCACATTCCTCACCACCCTTCGTGTCCTCCAACTTCTCTGCAAGATTTCCTCACTTTCTAGGCCCTTGTCTCACGGTACACGCATCAGCCTCTAAATCTTTGAGCTTTTCATTCATTTCTTTTTTTGTTTCTTTAAAATCTCAACTTGGTAATCCGTGTTTTGGAACAAGGCTTTGAATCTTGAAACACAACTTGTCTTTCAAGTTAAACCTCCCATAACTGCAGCAACAAATGTGTCTCACTCCATCATTGTAGGTAATTAGTATTGCTTCACGCTCACCACTTTTGTCGTCAATAAATCCACTCAACTCATGCAAAGGTGTTAGTCTTATTGTACTATCACAATTATTATACTTGATGACTGATTTTTCTTTTCAAACATAATGGCTGTGATAGTTCCACACCTATCATAATGCCATTCAGGAGCATAGTGCGTGAGCTCAAGGAGATTGGAGAGGGCATCAGCAACATGTGCAGAAGAGGAGGAGAGGCCAAGCATGTTCATCGCCATGGAAAATCTCACATTGCACCAGAATGTTCCCTACCACCACCACCTCCACCATCGTCGTCATCATCATCATCATCATATTCTTCGTCTTCTTCATCACAGAGCCGGTGGGCTAACTTACCACCTGAGTTGCTACTAGACATAATTCAAAGATTGGAAGCCAGCGAAACATCCTGGCCTGCACGTAGAGCACTTGTGGCATGTTCCTCAGTTTGTAGGCTGTGGAGAGAGATAACAAAGGATGTGGTCAAGACACCAGAACAGTGTGGTTTGCTCACTTTTCCCATATCACTGAAGCAGGTAATTTTAACTCTCTTGACAATCTCTTGTTATGTAATTGATGTCTATATTTACTTCAGGTTTGGTAGCACATGATACTAATATGTGATTTCATTTGTCTTTTCATCTGTGTTGATCCCTTTTGTTTATCAGCCTGGCCCGAGAGACTCACCAATCCAGTGTTTTATTAGGAGAGAAAGAGTGTCTTCAACATATTGTTTATATCTCGGCCTGAGCCCTGGTAATTAATTTCTTTGTGTTCACATAATTTATTCTCCACTTGCACATAGTTCTGTAAGAATTTCAGTAAAATATTGAGGTTTCCTTTTAATCTAAAATCTGATTTTGGATCTTGAACCGAGAATCTTTTAATTTCTTTTTCTTTTGGTAGTTTATTCCTTTGGAGACCTTGATCATGCTATGTTTCTAGTGAAGCGTGACTTTTTAAAGTTTTTATTCATGAAACTTTGTTATGACGATTATAGGTTGGACCATTTTCTTTGGCAGGATAAATTCTTGATAATAAAAAGATACTTTTTTTTTTTTTCATGTTGTATAGCACTTGTACTGACAAATGGGTATTGAAGGATATTTGCTATAAATGTAACTGTATCAATAGTGATGAAAATTGGTGATATCTTTGTGTTCACGTAATTTATTCTTTATTTGGATATAGTTCTGTTAGAATTTCAGTAAAACTGATGTACTTTCTCTTTGAATCTAAAATCGGTATGTGGCTGTTGAAACACCCTCATTGAGGATCTTTTTTCTGTTTTAGGTAGCTTCCTATTAGAGATTTCTTTGATCATTCTGTTTTTAGTCTACGTTTCTATTCACGGAAAGTCTGCTTTACAGGAGAAATTCTTAATTGTAAGATTTCCCTTGTTTTTTCTTATTGTAAAGCACATCAATCGAGACTTGTTTAATGTTCCAGTTACCATCTGTTTCATATTCTCTTAAATCACCTTATTGGAAGTGAATCACTGTATAACTGATGAGATATGGTTGACTGGAATCTGCTTTCCTTTTTAATTTCTATTCTTTCGTTGCACTTTGTTTGAGAATGGTATTTTTGTATTTGCAGCTCTTTCTGGTGATATGAGCAAACTGTTACTGGCAGCAAAAAAGATTCGAAGGGCAACATGTACAGAATTTTTAATATCATTGATCGCTGATGATTTCTCTCGAAATAGCAACACCTACATTGGAAAGTTGAGGTTAGTCTCACATCTCTCCGCTCTTTATCTTCATAACTGATACACTGTTATACTTTCTACGGTTGACTTGATCTGTTAGCAATGAACAGGTCTAATTTTCTGGGCACCAAGTTCACAATCTTGGATGGCGAGTCCCCGCATGATTCTTCACTTCCATTGAACTGCAAGTTGCAGCAAAGAGTCCATCTGAAGCAGGTACTTCCTAAGGTTGCTGCTGCTAACTACAAAGTGGCCACGGTATCTTATGAACTCAATGTCCTCCGAACAAGGGGTCCAAGGCGAATGCGGTGTACCATGCACTTGATCCCCATATCTGCAATCCAAGAAGGAGGGACTGCTCCTACTCCTTTGAAGTTTACCAATTATCTTAATGAGCATGCATCCACCACCACCACCCCAGACTCGAAAGGAAAGAAGCCAGAAGTTGTTGAGTTTGACACAACTGGCACTGACAATACTCAAGAATCAAGCCAAAGGGAACCATTGGTTTTGAAAAACAAGGCCCCTAGATGGCATGAACAACTGCAATGCTGGTGCTTGAATTTCAAGGGAAGGGTTACAGTGGCCTCTGTGAAGAACTTCCAGCTTGTGGCAGCTGCTGAACCATGCCAAAATGTTTCAGCTGCGGAACAAGAAAAAGTGATTCTACAATTTGGAAAAATTGGGAAGGACATATTCACAATGGATTACCGATACCCCCTCTCAGCTTTCCAAGCCTTTGCAATATGCTTGAGCAGCTTTGACACAAAACCAGCTTGTGAATGAATACGATTTGTCCCTCCCCCATTTTGGACAAATAGTCCTGTCATGTCACTCTTCCTTGATATAAAATGTACATATTTTCGTAAGGAAGGAGAGAAGAAGCTGGACAAAACAGCTCTCATTCTAATGAGTACTTTCACTCTGCATGCACAAGTTTAATTTGTGTAATGCTAGCTGTTAGGATTGATGTTTAATGGCAACTCAATGTAAACAAGTTTGTTAACTTAATTTCCTCAAGCATCAACCACATGAGAGAACAGGACCACTTCATAATTTTCTTATAAGCTAAATGAGCAACTCAATAAAAACATCACGGAGCATAAAATAAAATGATATGATATATGACAAATTACATGATGTGGATGTCGTGAACACTTGTTTTTGTTACTATGATGTCTGTTACAATACCCACTATACAATTTATTCTGGATTTTAGGAGGGAATGTGTGTGCTTGTTTCTTCACAGAATCTCAATGTCTTCAATATCCTTGCCACAACTGAACTTGCAACCTTGACGCTGGCGTTTGTCGTTTGATTCAAGGAAAGGGCCTCTGATGCTTCTTCCAACCGTAGGTTGGTACGTTGACTTTTCAGCCCGGTTGATGTTGAACTGAGTCTTCTGAGTTTCCAAGCCAGGCTTAGGCTTATCATGGGGCCTGATGGGCTCAGTGGGCTTTTGTGGGAGAGTAATTTGAACACCAGGGTCTCTTTCAGATATTGTACCATGAAACATGAGTGAGTTATTGATACTTTGTATGTTGCTGTTGACATATGCCATCCCCACCTCCTCCTCTTCTTCTTCATTGGTGTTTTCTTCTCCATCAGTGGTCACCTCGTTGGCCTCATCAGGATCACTCTTGTAGGCTCGGTGTATGTGGATTGAACCCTCTTTCTTAGCTGACTCTGAACCTAGGTGCATTGTGGCTCCTCTATTGTCACCAACCAAGGTTATGACACTAAACTGTTTGTCATCCATGTGTTGTGTAGGGTGCACAGAGGCTGTTAGTTTGTGAACAAACTTTGTGATATCATCTTTGATGCCTTTAGGTAGTGGAGGAGCCTTTTCACCACTGAATGAGACAGGTTTTTCTGGTGATATGCTTGAGCTAGACACATTCCTTGTGCCTTCATCTGTTGAATTCACAACTCTCTTGTCTTTCCCAATGGGGTTAGTTGTGGCGAACATTAATTTTCTCTCCAAAGTTTCTCGCACTCCATGATGCTTCTTATCTCCACGGAACGCCTTTGAAAATGAATCTTTAACCTTTGCTGTTGTTCCTGAAGCAGAAGCTATGGAGCGTTGTTCACTTGGTTGTCCTTTGGTTGTTGTTGTGTCTTTGCCTTTTCCTCGTGCCTTAGTGGTTTGGGGGACCGCTTTTTCCTTTTCTTCAGATTGAAGAGACTTGCTTTTTGATGCTGTTGATCTTTGCTCAATTGCTGGAGGCTGTGTGGACAGATTCTCAGGTTGAGAAGAAATCTCTGGTGACTTGGTGACGGTTTTCAAAGGTGACTTTATCTTTGGTTTTTCTTCTTGTGGAACTTCCATCTTCTTTTCTTCTTGAGGTGTGGTTTCTTCAGTTTTAACGTCCTTTGAGGGCAAAGGAGATGATGGATGAGTGGTTGGTTCAATTTTTGAAACTGAGGATGAAGAGGGCAAAGAAGAAATTTGTTGTTCGGTGTCTGTAGGCTGACTTGACATCCTCTCGGGTTGAAAAGATGTTTCTGGTAACTTGGAGATTGTTCTCAGTGATGATTCTACCTTCGGCTCAGCTTCTTGTGATGTTGGTTTAGACAAGATTTCTTCTTCAGAGGAAGATGATGAGGGAGGAGTGGATGCTTCAGCAACAATCTTTGGCACCTTCAAGGCTCCATTATCTGAGGCCAAATGAGTTTTGGGGGATGAGGGTGCAATATAGGACTCAGATAGTGAGTCTTCATGAGATAAAGGTCGAAGTGGTGGCTGTGGAAAAGGGGGCTTTGGTTGAGTAGTCACTGGGGACTCAATACTCGATGAAGATTGTGGTGGATGTGTTGGTGACTGATTTTGAGGTTCAGCTCTTGGGGGTTCTTCGGTTTTGGATGCACTGGGAGGAGATAGGTCTGATGGTGCTACCAAAGAAGGCTTAGATGGTCTATGAATAGGTACACTTGTGTCTGAGTGGGGAGGAGATTTTGGTTTATCTCTTGCACGACGAGCGAATGATTCAGATGGTACTGATAGCCATGGGATCCTAAAACGAAATGACTTACTCCTTTGTGCCATGGATGGTTGATAATATCTGATTACACAGAAGGACAAAGGGTGATAATTTTGTGGTGTTCTAGCTGAATGCAATGCCGCATGTTGCAATGGTAGGACTCTTATATATACATAAGTGTTTATACCTTGGACGTATAATGGGACTTTCCCTAGACTTGAGCTTGCAAATTCTTATTGCTTCTTACACAACATTTCACATTGATTCCCCTTGAGAAGCTCTCCTTTTTGTGTCTTGCCTTAATTAATGTTCTAATGAAAGGTTTGCCAATAACAACTATTGTCAGAGCATAGAGGAAAGAAATTTCTCTCGCCGCTCACAAAAGGAATTCCGGTATATATGCTTTACCTTCTTCTTGATTCCGGAACACATTTCATGGTTCAACGATTCCATTTAAAGGCAACAAAAAAGTGCCTTTCTTCATATTCTTCTTTAAGATAATAATTCAGAGACAAGATAATCACAACACAACTTCAGGAAGTAAACGATGATAGCAAGCCATTATCTTACCTTCATAGCACAGCAAACATGAGAAACCAACCGTGTGGTAGGCACTTCTTTAGATAAACTATATTTAAAATCGTTCTAATATTCGTCAATCCTTCTGTTATTTTAGTTTTCATATTTAACAAATCCTATTAAAAAGAAAAATGGTTTCTTAATTCAAATTTTTTTTTTTTTCTTTTAAGCAAAATTTCATCACTAAAACCCGACCAGAAACAAAGCCCAAGCAGTGCCGGGCCTGGTCCATACGCAGCACCCGCGTTATAAACATATTTACTTAATAAAATATTCATTATCGACAACGAAAATATCTACTATTCTCTCCATTGACAAATTTTACTTCAATTTAAAATGACCATGTACTGCACAGAAAACTTACTACGAGTACAGCATGCAATAAAATAATCCACTAAATGATGCAGACATACATTATTACAGTTTGTTTGAACATATAGACTACTTGCAATCCATAAAGTGGTATATACGTTAAAAAATGTGTAGGCATCTCTAACTGCAACTGGATCAAACAAGAACCGAGGGTAAAATCAGAACAATTCAATGGGAAACCACAAGAATATTGTATAATTGAAAAAGAAAATTCCATGAGCATGCCACAGAAGATATTTGTATATACAAACAACTAAATTTCAAAAGAAAAAAACAAAGACGTAAATCAGTAATCTAAGCGATGGGAAAATTCATAAACACGGTACAACGGAAAAAGTAACAAGAATAATTCATCCTTATTTGTTACATGGTATGATAAATCCAGCAGACCTTGCTTCCTGAACAAGGTAACAAATTTGTTGGTCACTTGGCAGATAAAGACTAAAATGTCCCAATTCATGACCACTGAACTATCTCATACTCGGTGGTCGGGAGACAGGCTTCAAAAGGTTAACCTTAACCCTTGATGCATCGAAACCCTGTGCCTCCATGATCCGACATATTCTTTGTGCATCCTGCTGAAACCCACCATCAATAAGGCCTCTTATAACTCTCTCAAACTCAGCTTGTCCTAATTCATCCTTCCTAGCTTCCAGAACGCCTAGAATTTGAAGGGCCTTTTTCTCATTTCCAGCCCTTGCATACATATCACAGAGACTCACTTGAAGCTTAAAAGGAGGAGCCTCACCCTGCATAGCTATTTTTCCTAAAAGCTGCTCAACTTCATCAACAAGCTGCAACTGACCCAACCAGTCCACAAGAACAGAATAAGTGGCTACCCCAGGCTCAAACCCATCGCTTTCTAACTTCAAAAGTAGTTCCAATGCATCGTCCAAGTAGTTTTTCTTCTCATAAGCTGCAATCATGCTAGCAGTGCACCTATCATCAGGCTTATTCCCAACGTTAATCATGTAGTCAAAATGGCTTCTTGCCTGATAAGGGTCACCAGTAAGTGCATTTGCCTCAATAAGTAGGGTGCATGCCTCCACACTCTGTTGGAACCCTGCAAACTGCATAGCTAACGAAATTCGGTCAGCTCCTTTAGTATCACCAAGTTGAGAAAAAGAACGGAGCATTGCCATGTATAATTCCTCCGTGGGTTTAATATTTCTCGTATCCATCTCCCTCATCAATTTCTCGGCCAACTTAGGCTGGTCATTATTCACAAATGCCATGATCATTGATTTGTAGACTTGGAAGTCTGGTTGGAAACCCAGGCCCGTCAACATTTCAAATGCTTCATTTGCACGGGCAAGATTGCCTCCCTTGCAGTACATGTGGACCAACGCACTGGCTGTTGAAGCATCAGGTTGTATATCATTTTCACTCATCTTCTTTAGCAATCTCTCGACATCATCAAAGCAGTCCTCTTTAGCATACATATCTATAAGCCTAAAGTAGTCATAGACATTTGTTTGGAAAGAATCTTCAGTCAATACCATTTCAGCCACCTATATAAGCAAAGGATTTGACAAAAATCAAACACCCAAAATCCAAATAACTATTCATCCCATGTTCAATCACAGTTATTCACTTAAAAAAAAAACGTACATTTCATGAAAGTTCCTACAATTTTCACGAGCAGTACATGGAAATATATCCTTAGGATCATCCATGTTCTTAAACAAGCAATTCATACAACTAAAGAGCCATCAAATACGTGACAAAATAGGTAATTCATATAAGCTTAAAATGATGAAAAGCCATTGTCATACATATACATACCTTCAAGTACAGACTACGATTCTGCTCGTTCAATTTGTCAAGTAAATCCATCCATTCCAACCGGCTAGGTTGCACGAGCTCCACCCACTCATCCAACAGGCTTTGCAAGCCATCATCATCCTCCTTCGACGACAGAATCTTCGATGTAACAATCTTCGCTTTCCCGGTAATTGCCTTCGGCTCCTGAGTCCAGAATACCTGCTCTGCCTCATGGATCCTATCAGCCACTTGTCTCCACTTGGGATCAGAGAGATCAAGCCCATAAATTTGGTACCTTATCTTACCTCTCCTTTTGGGAAGTCCAACAACAACCTTCTCCTTCTCCTTCTCCTTCTCACCAACATCACTTTCCTTCTCCTCATTCTGTGCCTCTTTCCTTATTCTCTCCAAACCCTCGTAGAATTCATGTTCCTCCATCCTCTCACGCGCCCACTTGAACCTAAGCTCCCTAATCAAATCACCGCGAATGCCAACTTCACCAGCGAATCTGCACATTTCCTTAACCTCTTCACACTGCAAGAAGCCCTTCATTTTCTCTTTCTTCCTCTCCTTGTTCATATCCTCCAAAACCATATTGCTCACCTCCCACACCGTTCTCCACAAATCGTCGCTGAAATCCCCCGAACCCAACGACCCCGTTTCAACTCCCTCGCCTTTTTCCATCTCCGACGTAACCCTCTCAACGATCGCCACCAGCATGCCATCCACGGTGGCCTTGTCGGAGTCCGGGTACGCTTCTTTCACCTTCTTCCGCATTATCCACACGAATCGCGATAGAAACTCGTTCGTCGTGTCGTCGCCATCGACGACGGCGTCGTTTTGCGGCGCGTGGACTCTGGGGTCAATGAGGGCGTTGGTGGTTTGGGCAGAGTGAAGGGTGGTGGTGGTGAACGGCGCGTGGAGAAAGGTGGCGGAAGAGGCGCGTGATTGCTGCAAAGAAGAAAGGGTGGTGGAATGGGATCGGAAAATGGCATTGAGTCTCTTGAACGTGTGTCTTGAAGTGGAAGCTAGGGTTCTCCAACTCATGGTGTCTGAGATTGAATTTTGAAGAATGAAATGGAACTGTGTTAGGGTTTTAGGTTTATGGAGGTTCACACTGTAACACTCACATACTCAACAAGATGAAGAAGGAAATGAAAAGAAACTGTAAAAACTAAGACACAGGCCCAAAGTCTTCGTAATGAATAAAGCCCAACATAACGACCAAAGTTAAATGTTTTTAAATGCAAAGAAGAAAGATAAATCTTAGTTTTGTAAACATTTTTTAAAGAATTTATTTCTCTTTGTTACATGTTATAATGACATAGAGACACACACAAAAAAAATAAAAAATAACAGTATTAAAAAAATTAGATACAAAAATATTATTACATCTAAATTACTGTTTTGGGTATTTTAGACCTTTTGATTATCAAAGATTGCTTAGTCCACCATTCTGTTGCCTGATTTTTCCAACTCATCAATGAGTTACATTCTATATTGCTGTTATGGATAGAGGATTATAGAAAAATGCAGTAAATGTTCTTATCTCAAAGTTCTAAATTTCTGAAGTTCAGATAGAGAATGAGTCAAAAGCAAAACTGAAAGGGGCTATTATTGCTGAAATTAAATAATTACATCAAATCAAAACAAAATTCCTATATCAACCCACTCCTAAAACCTATTCCACTCTGCTGTTCTGGGACAAATCCAATCCAATCCTAACAAAATAAAATAAAAATGCTTGTTTTTAAGTCACAAATCACCTTCTATGGACACTGGACAGAAATAAGAAGTACAAGTAGGACAATCTCAAGCCCAAATAATCATAAATCTTCATCATTCACTTGATGCTCACATATTGCTTCATCAACAACCAACTCATGCTCAAAGGACTGATCATCACATTCATGTTTCAGTGAGTGGCCTCCATTTTGCAACTGGCAAATGGATTTCCCATATTTGATCAAGAGATGCAAAAGGTATTCTAGAAGCTCCTTCTCCTTTGGGTTTGTTTCATTCACTTCATCAAGCTGCTTCTTTATTGCTGCTTTCTCTACTAAGAGACAGAAAGCGGATTTGATCTCCAATTTAGAAGTTGCAATTTGTATAGCTTCAAGTTCTTCCTTTTCCATAAAAGCTTCATCAGGAAAATTCTTCTTAAACAGTGAAAGTAGTACCTTCCTAGCCTCGTCTTCTGCAGATTCCATGGAAAATTTTGTACCCCTAAGGTCATGTAGTGTTGCAGATATCTGTAGGCCAATTACCAGGTTTCAAAAATCAGTCATTGCCTTTTCAGAAATCAGAACCTATAAATATTAAATCTGTTTACGTAAAGAAAAATCAAATCATTGTTTTATAAACTATATAAACTTATGCAGATTGGAGAGAATATCTTTTTTATTAACTTTTACAAAAATTTGTGTTTAACTTATGTATATATTAATTTCATATAACAAAAATTTATTTTATTTTATTCTCCAATACAATAAATGATTAAGAATTAATTTACCCAAATATATACATATTCTGGAGATGTAAGAGGCCACTTAAAGAGTATAACCAACCTTATCAGCCAATGGTAATGGAACAGTATCTTGAATCTGTGTCAAATACAGGTCAAAAGCGTTTCCTAGTTTTTGACATCTTGAAAGTATCTTGCCGGAGGTGATTGCCTAACCAGTTCGTAAACCAAGTTGGTTATTTCAAACCAACATTTCATAGTATGAACAATATAAAGTGTTCAAAGATTATGGCACATACTTTATATATGTCAAATCAATTTAGAATTTATCTGTGAGTGAAGGTTTAAAGTTCAGAAGGGTACCTACCAGGTATAGTTTACTGCACCTAGAACAATCTTTGATCACTGACTTGGCTTTTGCCAAAGTGAAGTTTAATGAGCACAATGCCTGGATCGCTAACTTGCAATTTGGTCTAGCAGATTCAATATCTAAAATTACATGCAAAACTCTATCAATGAGTCTATGAAGCTCTAAGCATATAGAACGGTGTACCTGCACAAATGAAAATATAAATGAAGTGTAATCATATAAAGGTGAATTATATACCTATGTTTTACATAATTTCATCTCTTGTAGCACTCCCTCAATAAACAAAATTGTTCATAAGTTATTTTAGCTGCAGTTATTCAACATCTACTATATATATAACATTACTATCAGGAACAGAATACTGCTGTATTTCTACAATCAGATCATCTGGTAAATAGTCCAAAATGCTACGAATTTTTTTTCTTCTATTGGTCATTTTCAGTCTTCAAATTCAACGACAAAACATGGATTGTTGATAGGTGCTTCTGGTGTCGTGTTATTTCACCAGAATTGAAGTTTCACATCAGTAATTCCCATAATAAAGAGGTTTTTACTAAAGGTTAACAAAGATCAAACCTCTGAGTGAAGAAAGACACTAAAAACACCTATGCAGAACCGTATCTAGGTTTTGTTTGATTTCAAATACTGAAAACTATTTGGGATTATCAGATGGTCATTTGAGATTGTTGGTCCTAAATTTGATATCTAAAATAAAAACTTGATGGTGATGGTGGCATTCATGAGATCCAAAACAGAAATTTGATGGTACCTTAACTTTACAATAGCTTGGAATTGGAATCTCCACAACTGTTCCACAGTTACTGGACATCTTAAACGTAGAGTTGAGCTCAGAGACAGTACATGGCATGAGCAACAGAGAGAAGAAGAAAGGTGTTCTTGGATATGCTGCAAACCTCAACATATATCTTGAGTCGCCACACACGTTAAATAATGGTACCCTTGTGATTCTTTTGCTCGTGTCTTCTTCTAGTTAATTAATACCCAATGGAAAGGGTAACTTCAAAAGCATTTAATACACATTGGGTCATTGACAATATATTTTTCAACACGAAGCAATAAAGATTTTGACAACAACCCATTAAGCCATCACCAGCATAACACATGAAAAAGGCAATCTTTTGGTAGAAATTTTCGTAGGTTGGTTCGTCTTTGTTGACTTTTCTCTCTGCAGAACTGATAAGAAAGTCTGAACGCAAGGCCGGCCCCAATACTCAAAAATTATTTACTTGTCTTACCTTACTTTTTTTTTTATCATTTCATTATATATATATATATATATTCTAACAATATTATTAGACAGAGTATTCATCGAGTTTATTAATCATTAATTTTCATTCTAGATTCAAATTAAAATTCGAAAACTTATTTAAGAGTATTGAATTCAATAGCAGAATGTGATTGGTGGAGTTAAACAATGAATACTAATCATATGAAAAGATGGATGAGGGTCCACATGAATGTTAAATAAAAGCGTGACCAAGATTTCCAGATAAGAGGTGAGTCAAAGCTGGCAGAGAAAGTAATTAAAGTCTATGAAAAATACAGAAAAAAAAAAGGAACATGGAGGTCCCACAGGTCAGAGTGTGTTCGCAAGGCAAACGCAGTCAACACGGTCAAATAAATGTTTTGTTTTTAATGAAAAATAAAAAGAATAACTAGTGTGAATTTTAATTAAGTTTTAATTTAACTAATGAATTTAAATTTTAAAAATATAATAATTAGAATATTTAAAAAATTATTCTTACAATAATTTTATCAAGTTGATTCAGCTATAAAAGAAAATGGAATTCGGACGGTAGACGAGGGATGCTTATTCAATTATGGATGACCGATCCCATTTCTATTTTGTCTTTAGATTTCGTATTGTTTTTTAGTATTTTATATTATTTTTAAAAAAATAATTATATTTATAATAAATTAATTTGATATATTTTATATATTAAATTTTATATAAAAATAAATATTTATAAATTTTAATTATTATTAATTAATTATATATTTAATTTATTATATTTATATTAATATTTATATATATATATATATATATATATAATATTTAATTACTTTTCTTTACAAATATAAAATATTTATAATATTTTTTTAATTTAAATCTCATATTAAATAAAAATAAAAAGTTAAAGTAATATAAAAAAAATAACTTATAATCTATAGTCTTAAAGAATTTTAGATTAAGGGTATTTATGTCTTATTGATATTGATTTTTTTTTAGAAAATATTTCTTGAAAAATATAATAATAATAATAATAATAATAATAATTATTATTATTATTATTATTATTATTATTATTATTATTATTTAAACATTTAAATACATGTTTAATTATTATTTTAAAATATTTATAAATATAAATATATAATTTATAAAAAAATATTTAATAAATTATTTTTTATTTAGTGTAAAATAATAACATTTTAGTTATTAATTTTTTTACATATTTAACATAATTATTTTATTATAAAAAAATTAGATATTTATGAATTATAAAATGTTAAAAATATAATATAACAAAATCTAATAAAGATAATTTTTAAATAAAATAATATTAGGTTTATTAAGATGTAGAATATTTAAAAGAATAAAGAAAAAAATTAATTTTATGTTAGTTAAATTAATTAAAGAAATTAAAAAAAAACAAATTAATCCAAAAAATTAAAAAATTGTAAATGAGAAAAAAAAGTGAAATAAGAAAATAATGTAATGAATTGAAGAATTGAAAAAATTTAAAAAGTAAAAAAAAATATAAAATATAAAAAAACCTTATATAATTAAAAATTAATATTTAAAAAAAATTAAATATGAAATTAAATTTTTTTTAATCATTTCCGTTTATTTTTAATTTTCTAAAATAAAATAAAAAAATCAAATTCCCATTATTAACTTAAATTTTTGTAGGTCAAACTAAAAACGACGAGGAATTGATATTTAGGCGAAGACTGGGTAAAGTGGGCCAAGGTTTATTCCCAGGAAGAAAATTATAATGGTGATTTGAAATGCGTCAACTATCATTTCCCTTTCATGTTTAAACTACTGTTGACATTTCTTCTGCAGGAAGCATACTGACTCGGGTGATGAAAATGCATTCAATAATAATAATAATAATAACAAAATATAATTTTTTATCTATTAAATAAATACATACCTACTTCTTTCTTTTTCACTATTTATATTCATACATCATAACAATATCTACACAATCAATTATAATCAATTATATGGTCGAATCTATGTCTACGCTCATCATTTGAATATATGTCTACATATTATTTATATATATATATATATATATATATATATATATATATATATATATATATATAATAACATAAAATTAAAGAATCATCCAATATCAATATTATTAAAGATTAGATAAATGATAAATTTGATTATCCGAATAAAAATATAATTAAAATATCACATGTATAAATAAATATTTTAAAATAATATTATATATTATTTAAAATAATAGAGTTGTTTACATATACATTACTCTAAATATAATGTAATAACAGTTCTATAAATAGGACATTTCTCTTCTTTCTATTTCTTTGATTTAAAATTCATTTCTCATCATTATCAATACACCTTAGAACCTCCATCTTATAAATATTTCGTTCAATGACAATAAATGATTTATAAGAACAGAATATTAGTTTTGTTCAAGTAATATAATTTTATCAAATTATAAGCATGTGTTATGATTTTTTTTTCTTTTAATTTACTTTTTTATTTATTATTAAAATAATTATTTATATAATATAATATTATTTTTAAGTATATCAATTATAAGCACATTTATAAGGATGGTTTTATTCTTATTTAGGTTTGAGAAAGAAAAATTAAGTTAATTGAATGAAAGTATAAGTTTGAATTTATTCTTAAGTTGGAGACATAGATAAAGAGGAAGACAGGGTGAGGCTAGAAACGAGTAATACAATTCTTATTTTAGTTTCAATCTCCTTCATTTTCGTGTTCGTGTTGACTTTATATTTAAATATAAATATTAAATTATTAATTTTTTAAAGTTTTTTTTACAATATATTTTATATATTTCACATTTTTTTTACTTTTTCCTTCCTTATTTTTCATTCTTTTGTTTTTTTCAATTAATTTATTATATTATTTTTTTCTCACTTTTTTACTTTTTCATATTTTCTTAATTTCTTCAATCAATGTGATTTTTCCAATCTCTTTAGTCTGATTTGACAAACACAATGTTTTTTTTTAATATTATACATCAATCTTAGAAGTACCTAATATTATTTTATTTTTAATATATCTTTATTAGATTTTATTATATCACATATTTTAATTTTTTTATTTGTCATATATCAATTTTTATCCGAATAAAATAATTGTATGTAAAAGGATTAAAAATAATTGATAATTAAAACTTTTATTATTTTATATTAATTAAATAATAATTAACTTATTAAATATTTCTTATAAATTGTAAATTTCATATTTATTAATAATTTAAAATGACAACTTAAACAATAATTAACTTATACATGTAATGAAATATTTGAATACAGTGTTATAATATAATAATAATAATAATAATAATAATAATAATAATAATAATAATAATAATAATAATAATAATGTTATAAATATTCTATATCTACATAAAAAATGATTAATATTTCTTTTACATACATATTTTAATATAAATATAATGCATTAAAATATATAATTATTTAATAATAATTAAAAAATTGTAAAATTACAAGTATTTATTTACATATAAAAAATACATTAAACTATTAAAATTAATTTATTATAAGTATAATTATTTTTTTAAAAATAATGTAGAACGGGGATATGATAAGAATTTAATTTCTAATCCCAATTGACAATATGTGGAGTACACTAGTGCAAAAAAGGGCATCTACGTCACCCAATTGTTGTCGCATGTAAAAATATTCGACGTAAATAAAACGCGGTGACAATTTTGTAAATAAGAGACAAAACTTTTACGTTGCGCACCCCAGCACGCGATGTAAAAAGTCCCTTTTATTTCCGCCCAGTCCCACTCCCTCGTCCTGCGCAACTAGGGTTTTTGAGAACGACGACAAGAACGACGACAACAACTACCTCTGCACACCATTTTCGATCAGTTTGACAGTGAAAAACATCAACATTGTGTGTCAATTTACGAACTTCATATTTCTCCCCGATTGGATTCGAGTTTGAAATCATTTTTCGTCTACACTCGAGGTTAGTGTTCTATGCCATTGCTATATGTTTAAATTGAATCCATGATTGTTTTTGGGGATCTCAATCACGTTATAGTATGAATGTCTCCACTGGATTGTTATTGGAATGTAATTATTTGTTTATTTGTTTGAGTGCATTCGGTTTACACACTCCATTATTGTTGGAACGTGCTTTGTTGTTTGTATATTAATTTCTTTTTACATATAATTTTTAAATTTCTAAGAGTGACGAAACTTTATAACATAATATGAATCGAAGTTGGATAAATGCACGTCGAATTAGTGAAGAGTACGAAAAGGGAGTTGAGGAATTTTTGAAATTTGCTAGTGAAAATGGAAAAGCTATGAAAGGGACATATTATTGTCCATGTGTTCGTTGTTTGAATCAAATTCGTCATAAACTTGAGGATATACGTGATCACTTGTTTGTTTATGATATTATTAAGAGTTATACAATATGGACATGGCATGGAGAAATATTAGACATCCCAACTGTGTCAACTACAGACAATTTTGATGAAGGGATGGATGATAATCTAGAGGATATGATACGTGATATTGGTGAAGAAAAGTTTATGAAAGCACATCTATATGATTCTTTGAAATCTGATGTTGCGCAACAATTGTACATAGGATGTAGTTTTACAAGATTATCAGCAACTT